ATTCCCCAGCCAGCCATGCTGGCTGGGGAATTCTGGGAGTTGAAGTCCACACTTCTTCAAGCTGCCAAGGTTGAGCAACACTGGCACAGAGCCACCTGGCCCTTGGAAGATGCAGGACAGGGTACAATGACATGCTGAACCCTGTTGGCACGTTCTCCCCTCCGGCATATCTTCAGGGGCCCGGCAAAAGGCATGACTTCTGAAGGAGGTGTCGTTCCTGCCCCAGGTAGCCCAGGGGCTCAAAGCTCTGCCTGGTCTTTATGGGCATCACCCTTTTTTGGCTGCCCTCTTGACGTTTTTGACCCTCCCCTGCCAACCCCTGGCGCACAGCCTTGAGGGAGAAGGGAAATGCTTAGATCAGGAGAGACCAGGTGGGATCCACTTGGGTTGAAGGGTTGGGCATGGCAGAATGGCTTGCTCACAGGATCTTTGGTTTTTGCCGGGTCCCAAACAGACACTGGCCCGTTGCAAAGTGGGGGGGGGATGGGGAAAATCCAGCATTGCTGTGGTTTCCCAGAATGCTTTGGGGGCCCCCGGGGGCCCCACGGGCATCCTTAGAAAATCAGTCAAGCAGACACGGCTAAAAGTCCCAGCTTAAAAGCCTCCACCCCATCAAACCATTTTGTCTTCAGGAAGGCAGGGCTTCTGGGTGGGGGTGGGGGGCAGCCCCCACCCGCGGCGTCCATTTTGTGAAATCGCTCGCAGCGGGCTGTCGGGCTGCACCCCGATCTCTGATCGAGCGCCTCTTTTGTTTAGGACGCCGCGGTAGAGTTTTAGCTTTTCCCAGTCGTTTGGACCAAGGACGCCGCGCGCACCTTTTTCAGACAGATGGTCTGAATCCATTCGGCCTTCCGGACATCAAATACATCCACGCTGTTTTCGCTGAATACTGACAAATAAGGGGCGTTGTAACCTGAAACGGGAAAGAGCAGGGGGTAACACCGGCGTGCCCGGTCTATCGCTTGTTCCCGCAGCTGCCCACATCCTCTATGGCAGTGTTTCTCACCCTTGGCAGCTCTCAGAGGGGTGGACTTCAACTCCCAGAATTCCCCAGCCAGCCAAGATCG